AAATTGTAAAACAGGAGAGAGAATAGGCCATTTTTAGGAGGGGTTCAAAAGGGTCAGGTGAAATTTCTAGTTGGCCATATGATATTAGGATCCTCCCATGTGTGTACAACACAAATATGTGGTTTGGGGTTGAAGAAAGTGGCCCCAAGGTGTTCAACATTGGCTCGGAAGTGAGAAAAACGGGCGCCGGAGGGCGAAAATGGAATATAACTGGTTGCCAAGATAATTGCTGGCCTTCCACCCTCCAGTGACCTTCCTGGTGATAAAACAGAGGTACCTGCCGAAAATGAACGAAAATCGATGCAAAACGAATGCTCGGGGGCCAAAACACGCAGTTCGGGGTCCCGAGAAATGGGCTGTTAAGCACCGAAAGTGGCGTTCGGCCACGAAGTGGGTCTCTCAGACCTCAGTGTCCCTCAAAAGTGAGTAAATAAGATGTATGCCAAAATTTAGAGCAAACGGAGATGGTTAAGCGGTCTCGAACCGAGGCACACGGCGAACGGTCCCGAAAAAACGAAAATCGGGCTCCGAAATGGGCAAAATGGCGTACGGCCACCAAATGTAGCCCACGGCCACTGAGAGATGGTCTACGGGACCTCTCCCTCCCCTCAGGAAAAGAAACAGAGAAAACCGAGCCTGGTTCGCAAACCGAGGCAAAGCACAAAAGAGGGTTCGAAAGTCCGGAGCCTGCCTCCGGATTAGATACACAACTGGTGACGTCTAAGTCTTAAGGTCGGTCAAAAATGGGGTGTCTACACTTAGATACACAACTGTACTCTGTACTCATACCCAAGTCCATGTAAGGGATTAGATTTGGATCAGGTATATGTAGGTGTTGTAAAAATGTACAGAGCAAAATAATGTAATAACCATTTTTTTTTTCTTTGTGGCTAAGCAAGCGTTTAGCGAATAAATTGTTGAGAGTCAATTCTTGATAACTGAACAATTGGTAGAAGACGTCTTAATGAGGTGGTTTTGTCCTTTTGATGTAGCTTGTTTGAGGGTATAAATATCTCTCTCTCTCTCCTTTTCTTTTTTTTGAAAGGGAAACATTTGCTTTACTAGCTACCTCATTGGCAGTAAGAGACATGAAGGGGTCAAAGTTCCCACAAATACTGGAGCTTGCATTTGCCTATGGAGTTGTTGTAAGAACTTTGATCTTATGCAACATCCAACCCTATTTCCTAACGATTAAAATACAAACCCATTAGAAACCCACCCCAAAATGTCATTATACAGGGTGGCTAGCTTGAATGCTGAAATTAATAGGGTTTGTCAACAAAATACTGTTCACATTATGAGAATTACAGGAGTATTGGACTTGGAAAAAATTCATTCGCAATAGAGCAAAAAAAAAAAAGAAAGTAATTTAGGGGTAGAGAGGTTAGCTAAAAACCTAGCCCTAGAAATGGAAAGAAGCAACAAATGTGAGTAAAACAGCATACAATAGGCAATAATTAAAGCCAATGCGAAAACCCATTTGTGGATCTTGACAAAGAATCTGATATATAGTACGAAAACAATAACTGAATACAAAAACAAAGAAAAACCCTTTATTCGTTTGGTTTTATTAGAGCAAAATGAATGATACCCATTTGGGCAAAAAATTGGGAAATGTAGAGGGCGGTGGTAGTTGAAAGAGGGTGTGGTGTTACCTGAAGGTGTTCAATAGGAAAAGGACCATGCTGTTGCATATCTTCCACTTGGTCGTGTTCTTGGCCCATCTTCTGGTTTCTTATTACTTGCTCCATGGCCGATCGATCAGTAAATCTCAGAGAGAGAGAGAGAGAGATGATACTAGAATTTTATGATGGAATTTTTGAACGCGTTTGCTCGGAGAGAGAGGCGCCAAAAACCAGCGGCAGTGGCTTACAGAGTAAGCTTTATACAGAAAGGAAAGGAGTTACATTACATTTACAATACAAACAATTTCAATCAGAAATACCCAACCCAAACCAACCCAACACCACTCCACTATTATATTGGTGAGCCGAACTCCAAGCCCAACAATCTCTGTAGGTCGTCCGCACTAAGGTGACCAGGTAATTGTCCGCATCCGAGAGACGTTCGAGCTGACCAGGTAATCGTCCGCACCAAGGTGCTCCAAAGCCTCCACTCTCTTCTTGTCGGAAGAACTAATGACAGTCACGTGATGGCCCATGGCTTTTGCTATCTTCACTCCCATGTGTCCAACCCCTCCAAGCCCCAATATTCCTCCTCTCATCCCACTCTCCTTCAGCCCAAAGTGAGTCAGTGGGCTGTACACTGTCACCCCGGCGCACAGTAGCGGCCGCCAGCTCCACCGCCATACCCTCTGGAATTTTCACCACAAACCTACAAAAAATTGGGGAAAAAACAAAGGTGAAATATAATTATAATCACTAATCCAAATTATTTGAAACATTTGGACTAAGGATTAGTTTGGTCAACTTCATTTGGCTTTTTTATTTTTCAACAATGATTCATACCACTAAAAAAAATACTACTAATAATATTAATGTATTAAGAATGGCAAAAAAAAAGAAAGAAAAAGGCATAGGCAACGCCCACTGCACATCATTAGTGTTTCCCTAGTACTCATTTTTAGTTCTCTCAACCATTTTTCTTTATTTTTTTAGTTTGAGTTGATTTTTTTTTTTAATTATAAGCGAGTAAATTATGCCTGCAATACTGTAATTTATCATTTGTGTCAATTCATTTTCTCAAATTCAAATTGTATTAATTTTGTCATTTAAGTTTTCATATTACGTTAATTTGGTTTAATTAATAAATGCTAAGAAAAACAAAATAGGCTATTTTAGCCACAAAAAATAAAACATCACATCCAACCCATAATCATTACACTCTCCTTTCACAAAAAAAGTCAAAAAAAACCAAAAAGCCCTTCTCAAACCAAGTTTTTTAGCCCAGTGCTAAAATAGCCAAAAAAGTCAAAAAGCCAAAAAGCCAACCCACTTCCCAAACGAAGGCTTAGTGCTTGTTTGAGATGTGCTAAAATAACACATATTATTTTAACACATTATTTTATTTGAGTCACAATCATTTTATTTAGGTCACATCACTTCTTATTTGAGTCACATCACCTCTTTACCACATCACTTCAAATCCAACTCATATTTCATATTTTTTCATAAAAAGTCAAAAAGTATACTAATCTAACACTTTCCAAACAAGCCCTTAATCTTTCTTATCACATTTGATTTTATCAATTTCAAAATTTTAAAATTTTCTTAATGCAAAACAATTGTTATGGGTATTGTTAATATTAGTACATTTATGGAGCATCCCCGCAATCTCGTTTCATTTATTCTTGACATGGGATTCTATAGAATTTTACAAAACTCCTAAAGTTCTCATTTACACTGAATTGAAAAACAACAAAATTAAACTATAATATGTGATCGATTTCGATTCAGCAACTATAAAATTGGATGTTTCATTTTGGTGCTAAATTTCTTTTAACCTACCAAACTGAACCAAATTATTTACACCTGTAGTGGTAGAAAGGGGAAGAAAAAAATAAAAAAATAGAAAGCCATTATGTTTTAAAATGGGTCTTTAATATAAAAACAATAGGGCCTTTCATTACCACCTTAACTATTGAAGTATTACACATAGCAAAAAAAAAAAACTATAGGGCCTTTAGAAGAATGAGGCCTAAGGCAACTGTCTAAGTTGCTAAATTGTAATGTCGACCCTGAATCCTACCATTGTTGGTCACCACCATCATGACCCCCTTCTCTAGCCCACACCATCGTTAAACTCCCAAATTTCGAAAGAATAAGAATAAGAATAAAAATAAGCAGAAGAAGAAGGAAGTGAGAGGGGGAAGGGCTAGGTTTTCAGATTTGAAGGATGAGGATGTAAGGCGATATGCAGTGGAGAGGAAAGAAGAAGAGGTGGTGAAGGGAAGAGACAACAAGAAGATGGTAGGGTGGTAGAAGAGATGATGATGGAAGAGAAAGGGTGAAAAGAGTGGCGAAAGAAATAGCCAACAAGAAGATGATGAGACAGAAGAAAGAAAGGAGTTGAAGAGGAGATAGGAAGAGCAGGGGGTTATGCTAGCCCCAACAAAGGCGAAGGTACCAGGGAAGGAAAGGTTATGGGTTGCGATAGTTAGGGCTATGCAAAATACCTTTAAATTTGTTAAAATTGCATTAATTCGCACCAATTTATCCGCTAATCGCGAATTAAATTTTGAAATTTATAATCCGCCTTTGACATCACTCTACTCCGCTATAGTTAATACATATATTTTTTTAACCTGTAATGAAATATTAAAGTAAAAATGAATGTGAGAGAGATTTAAGATGTGAAATTTGTTACAAATTAGTAGTTATATATATAAAAAATATTATGTAAAATTAGTTTATGTTATATATATGGAAAATATTATGTAGGTTAGTGTTACATATTATGTAAATGTTTGATAATTATTAAGAATATCTTCAATTAACTAGCAAATTGAAATCACTTCAAACTGTCAAAACTACGGTTTGGTTATTTGTCAATCCGCCATTCATGGTCTGATTTATAATTTTACTCTCAAACTACACCAAACCACACCACGCGCACCCCTAGATAGAACTTCACACTTGACCACCTTCCCAAAATAAAGTGCATATTTTTGAAAACAGTCTATGGCTTACAACCTCACCAAATGCAGTGTTTATAAATTTTTTACATTCATCCATGACACACTTGGATATTCCCGATGAAGAAACCACAAGGAGTAGGTACCCTATTTGGACTGATCACAAAGCTTGGATACCTTCGTTGATATCCCTGATGAAGAAACCAGAAGGAGGGGTTGTTCCCCCTTAGTGATTGTAGAAAAAGGCTATCGTACTCTAAAAATACTTGAATAAACTAGTCAGTACACTTTGGAAAACATAAGACCCAATCCTTAACTTTTTAAACCCAATAGTAAGAAAAGTGGTAACATGGACCTTTCAACATGCCCACATCTCCCTCACTTGAGGTAGTGCACGTCACTTTGATGTAGCGCACACTACTTCGAGAAAAAGTGCAAAAGCACATAAACACATAAGCATTTACGAATTTCATTTCCGGCCTACTAGAGAAATTCTATTCCCGCACTCATTTTCACATCATTACTTCAAATTACACACATAGCTTTTTAGTTTTACTTGGTTTTACATACTTAATTTTACATAGGATCCTTACTTTCAATCTTCAACACTGTAAGCATCTTCTGTTGCCACCTTCATAGCTTATCACTATCGTTTAGGTGTTGGAGCATGTGTGAAGGTAGAAGTCTTACATCCAAACAAAGAGTAAAAGAAATTGAGTCTTAGGGGTGTTTTGGAAGTTCGGTAAAAAGGCTAACTTTTGGTTTTTTTGGACTTTTTTGTAAACGCCCTCAAAAAATAACATTAAACACCATAAATGTACTTGCATTGAATATAGTAGAAGCTCCACATCTTCTCTATCATCAGAAAGTTTCCCCCAAATTTAAAAAAACCAAAAGTATTAACATGTTTAACGACAAAAGCAAATGCCCCTAAAGGCTTAGCAGCTTTCCAAGTTAACACTGGTTACAACAAAAAAGAGTGCTAACTCATTTACACCATTAAGCCCTTGGCTTGAATATACATGTAATACATTAAAGAAAACTAAAACAACAAAGTATGCCCGCCTCAAGCCTCCCAAGCTCACGTCCTGAGGTGGCATGCTACATGTACCTGAAATGATATTCCCATATAGGGTGAGCCACAGCCCAGTAGAAATGCCACTAAACCAAAATATAACATGACTAAAAGATTAGTAGTTGATAGATGGCCAGCACTGGTACTTTCCCTTATCACACTTTACGATTTCGTGACATACAAGTTCATGTTACAATCCATTTTCAATTCTTTTCATTCTCAATTTTGTAACCATGGCTCAGAACCTGCCAAACAACCTATTATGAGACGTTAAACTCATATTCAACTTCTTCCCACGTTCATAATTAGATAAGCGTGACTAGCTATATCAAACACATCAACAAAAAGCATATAGCTATATCCATGCTTCCATGGATATGCATAAGAGCACTATCACACTCCAAAGACAAGCATGATTGAGCTATGTCAACACAATTACTAGATAAGGCATATGAGCTCTATCTATGGAGTTCCATCCCCTATCTTCTTCCCAATCAAACTCGGTTTAGAGGTTCATCCCCTATCATCCCCTAAACCGTGGAGTACATCCCCTATCTCCTCCAACTCGACACACATGGCCTATAAGACAATAATATATACACATCATCACACAACACATAAATTTAATGTATTTTTTTCAACCGTCATACTCAATGACACATTCCAGTGATTAGTTTCAGTTTGCCTAATCATCATGCATTGTCTACAAACAATCAAGATATCCGTCCCACCGATAGCCCAAGTACAGTTATTTCTATACAGTAAAATAAATGCAACATGGATATATAATCAAAACATTTCAAACCAGCGTGCAGTGATAAATAATCCACTACACCCTTTAATTCTATACATTTCCCAAATCAATTTCTCATTCCTCATTCAATTTAATTATGCAAATTAATTAACCAATGTTAATTAAGGGTATTTTCCATAATTAACATTACATCCTTAGGTTCATTTCATTATGTTTCACATTAATTTTACTTTTCCATGCAAACATGCATCAGGTTTTATAAGCTAAAACCCCAACTTTTGTATATTTTACACAAAAGTTCCCAAACTTTCACAACATTTCAACCCAACCCAACATCAAATGCTAAAAAAATTTAAAGACAAAACCATAGTGGAGGAGTAAGGTTATCCCTACCTCAAAGAATGACACCCACCCAAGAGATGATGGATTGAACGAAAATTGCTCCAAAACCACGAACTTTCGGATCAAAAGATAGCCCCTCGACGATCAACAAACTTTTTTGTAAAGGCAAAGGTGAAGGAAATATCTCCTACTAGATTCAATCCTAGAGAGAAGGTAGAGCTTCTAGAGTGAGAAGGCTAACAATGGTGTTTTTGGAAAAGTAAGAGAGAGAAGAGAAGTGGAAAAAGTGATTAAAAAGTCAAACCACGGAGCTTTAAACCCAGTGCCCGCTCGAGCGCGCAAAACCCCCGCTCGAGCGTCCTCAAGACTCCCGCTTGAGCGGCAATCCCCGCCTCGAGCGGCGGGATGCCACAAAAACTTCCCAGCACTTTGCAGACGGTCTCCCCTCGGAGCCGTCCAACTCCCCGCTCGAGCGAGCACCACACACTCCCGCTCGATGCGCACAACCGCGGCCTCGGCTTAACAACACTACAAGAGAGATACTTGGATTGGTGTTTTTTTCCCGCCGAGCGCCAAACACCCCGCTCGAGGGATAAGCAACAAAAGGATCCCCGTCGAGCGTCAAACTCCCTCCGCTCGATGGACAGGCAAAATCTGGGCAACTAGTTTTGTCCCTAAACCTCAACCAAACTTGTAAACAGAACTGCCCAACACATCCTTAACTCAATATACAAGACAGAAAGGATTGAAAAGGTATACATAAACAACCAAGCTCACAGAACCTAAGTCCGGATTACAACAATTAAAGAAAAGGGAAACCGGGCATCGCTATATATTTTTAGGCCAATAAAATTAGCTTTTTTGATAGTGATTTGGGTTAAAAAAAACA